TTGGGGGCCGTTTTGGGGCCTCTTGGGGCCTCTTTTGGGCCTCTTGGGCGCCTCTTGGGGCGTCTTGGGGGCCTCTTGGGGGCCTCTTGGGGCCTTTTTGGGGCCTCCTGGGCGCCTTCTGGGGCGGAGGGCTCGATTTTTCAGTTCTCGGTTCCCCTCTTGAGCCCCTCTTGGGCCCGTCTTGGGGCCTCTTGGTCCGTCTTGGGCGGCACTTGGGCCGTCTTGGGGGCCCTCTTGGGCCGTTTCGGGGCCGTCTTGGGAGCTTCGTGGGCCGTCTTGGAGCGATCTTGGGCGCCTCTTGGGTCGTCTTAGAGCGTCCGGAAGCCGAAAAAGCCAGAACGCAAAAAACATCGGAAAAACCAATGAAAATCAACGATTTTGGCCTCTTGGGGCCCTCTTCGGAGGCCTCTTGGAAGGCTCTTGGGGCGTCTTGAAGGCCTCTTCGGCTGTCTTGGGGGTCTCTTGGGCCGTCTTGGGGTCATCTTCGGCGCCTTGGAGCGCTCTTTGAACGTCTCGGGGGCCTCTTGAGCAATCTTGGGGGCCTCTTGGGGCACTCTTGGCGCGCTCAGGGCGGCCTGAGAGGCCGCACCCAGAAGGAAAACCATCTCTGAGTTGAACCGGGCGGGACCTTCCCAGGCGGCGGGCGGGGTACTTTTCGCCGGGGGACCCCCAGGGGCCGCCCCGCGCGCGCGAACTAGTACAATATACAATTGTTAACCAGTTACCGGAGATCTTAGCACGCCTCTGGCCCGTTGGGCCGGCGAATTGAATTCCGTTGCTCTTTTGCAGGTTTTTGGTTTTCTTGTTTTTTCGTGGTCCCGACCCTCCAAGACAGCCCACGAAGTCCCCAAGACCGTCCCAAGATCGCCCAATAGGCCCCCAAGAACGCCCCAAGACGGCCCAAGAGGGCCTAAAAACAACCCAATCGGCGCCTAAGACCGCCCAAGAGCTTGCAAACACGGCCCAAGAGGCGTCGAAGACGGTCAAAGCGTGCCTCGACGCGCATACGACCGCTCCAAGACGCCCAAGATGGTTCCCGGAAGGCCCAAGTTGCGTCCAAGACGTCCCAAGACAACCCCAAGAACATTCCCAAGAGGGACGCAAACAGCCAAAATCATTGCTTGCCTTCAGGCTTTTAACGGTTTTTGGCTTCCTCAATTTTTCGTCGTCCCGACGCTCCAAGACGGCCCAAGAGGCCCCCAAGACCGTCCCAAGCTGGTCCAAGAGGTTCCCACGACGGCTGCAAGAATGCTCATTTGCCTCTCAAGACCACCCCAAGACGGCCCCGGATGGACTCCCGACGGCCCTCGAGGCTGCCCAGATGGTCCAATATCCCCAAGACGGACCCCAGACACCCCAATACGCTTCCACAGCGGCCCACAGACGCTCCCAGAGGCCTCCAGGTACAGGATGAAGACGCTCCCAAGAGGGCTCCGAGTTTCCAAATTGCTCAAAATCTGTCCACAAGCAGTACGTTCGTAGCACGTCGCCTTTTCACTGCCGATGGGCCTCCGAGGCTGCTGGAAGGCGTCAGAACGCCCTACAGAGCCACCTCAGAAACACTCAGGACAGCTCCAAGAGCGCTTGGAGGTTTCCCGAGAGCGGCCCGAGACCGCCCCAGCTGGTCTGAAGATTGGGTTCGGGCCGTGAAGATTGCCCCAGAGGGCTTCAAGACGGCTCAAGAGGTGCCCAACAGGGCCCCACGGGAGCCTCAACAGTAGAGGGTCCCAGGAGAGAGAAAGAGAGAAAGAGAGAGAGAGAGAGAGAGAAAACTCAAATTGAGATTTCGAGCCATCCGCCCCAAGGAGACCCCCGAGATCGCCTTCAGGCTCCACGAGGCCCAAATTAGGCCCCCAAGCGACCCCCAATATGTTTCAAAACTGCCTCCAAGAGGCTCTCCAGAGGCTTCCACGAAGCCCCAACAGGCATCCAAGAGACCTTGTCTGAGCTGGCTTGGGGTAGTCCGCGCAATGTCTAATCGGACTTCGCTCAGTGTACCTTCGCTACGCTCGTGCAAGGGGGACCCCCCTATGCCACTCATGTTCTTTTCATGCTGTTTCACCTTGTTTCACCTAGTGGTTCCCCCAAGGGGTATGGGCTGCCTGGATGGTCGCATGTTTGAACCATCCAGTATTCCTCAGCTCGGCTGTTGCCGACACTTCCATAAGCGCGAGTGCGCGAGTGTCCACCCATTTTCGCATTGCTTGTATGTGTACGCGTCTTGGTACTGCTTGTTTTCACTTGTTGTCAAACCAAAAAACCGGCATCCAAAAGACCTCTGCATCACAACCCAAACGCGGTGGCGGGATAGGCTGGATGCCAACAGGCCAGTATCGAGCTCTATATGGATTCTCGATTTTGGTGCCACGCGTTTCGGTGTTTCGACGCCCACAGGCCCTTCCTCGGCGCCCAAGTCCGTGTAGAGTGTTTCAAAATGGCTTTCGTTTTAAAGGAATTCAGAAGTCGTCTTCTTGGTCACCGCGGAGGCTGGCCGAAGGCC